ACAAGAAGAACGTCTATCAAACATCTATCAACCCTTAAAGGCTTATGTTATCTTGCGGGTGCAACATGGGAAAATCTTTTAAGAACAGTATCAATATTTGACAAATAGTGTTTTCCTAACTCAAACAATGTGGGGTTTATTATTCTACACATAGTTCTGATTTCTTTCAGGTGTTCACATTCACGTAGATAGTGTTCAAGGCGGTGTCCATCACTCTCACCACAGATTCTGCAACTTCACTTATCAACTGTTGTTTCCATTCCATATCTCCATGGATATTTGTATCCAAGACGGATTCTCGCTATTACTGATTCTCTCCCTCGTCCTCCTCCTCTTTGGCCATAATGATTGGGATTGCCAGCTGCAACCATGTTGTACCATTGTACAGATTCACTGGTTTGTGCTTCTATCCTCCTTTCCTCAGTTACCTTGTCACGGTAATGTTGCCTGACAATACCTCTAACTTGTAGTAGAGTCTTGGGTATGAAGTATTCAATATGGTCTTCTTCAGCGCCTTCAGCAGCCAGCACATTTGCTTGTTCATTCCCACATATTCCAACATGGGAGGGGATCCACTGAAACTTGATGACTCTTCCCTGATTGGCAAGTACTCTCACAGCTCTCTTAATTTCAGCGGCTATTGCAAGATTTTCTGCCCGATTTTTGTCAACACGAGCTACGGCACATAACAGCAGACTCATGTACTATCGTTTCCCCCAGTGAACACATCAACTCCTGTGAACACAACACCACTAGTGAACACAACACCACTAGTGGACACAACAACACCAGCAGTGAACGTAACAACACTAGTGATCACAACACCATTGACCACTGGCACCAATACACACAGTAACACCAGCACGTGACGGTGGTGTAACACCACATACAACACCACCAGTGAACACACTCTCACCAGCAACAACACCGCACACAGCACATCTGATGACCAACACTTCCACGATGGATAACCACAGTGAAGAAAGTCTCACTATCCTTCAATGGAACTGCAATGGAGTTTCGCGGTAGACCTAATGACATCATACAATACGTTCTCGAACACCAAACGGACGTCATAGTGCTACAGGAGACACTGGTTGGTGATGACTTCAACCCAAGGTTCTGCGGTTATCGCAAGTTTTCCCTGCCAGGAAACAGGGGACAGGAAACGGAGTCTTATTACCTATGTCAGCAGCAACAGACCTGCACAGATTATTGATGATCTTCACATGGGGGATGAGTATGAATCGTTGGGGGTGACCCTTCACTTAAACAATAATGCCCTACATATCATCAACCTATATGTGCCACAGAGTAAACTTGACCTGGACACACTACCTGAATTTACTAACGACGATCCTACCCTGCTGGTCGGTGATCTTAATGCCAGACACCCGCACTTTGAAGCCAACTGTCATCAGCCCAATGTTAATGGACGGAAACTCTCACTCTATATCAGGGGAAGTGAAAACCTTAGAGTCCTGGGTGATGAACAGCCAACTCACCTCAGAGGAGGAAGATTAGACTATTCTCTCTTACTGAATGCACAGGACACGGATGCCAGTACACACATTGTGCACAGTTTATGCAGTGACCATTGGGCACTGATTACCACCGTCGGCATGAGCAAGAGAAGAAAAAGAGACAAATAAATGAAAAAAGTTTATCACTAGGAGCGGATATGAGGCCGCACCTCATAAACGAGATGAGTGACTGGTTCACGGAATACCAAATCCCAGAAGACTTTGATATATTTGTTGATGACCATAATCACCAAATTCAGCACTGTCTCAGAGTTCCGCACCACACGACTGGGCGAACTAACCCTCAGAAAAAGAAGAAAATAAAATGGAATGAGAACGATTACATAAAAATGCTCAATGCAAATTTAATGTAAGGAGAATGAGTAGAGAGTACCAGAGACATCCCACTGAATATAACCAAGGGCTGTTTAAAACTGTGTGTCAAGTAGCCAGGGAAGAGAAGCTTAAAGAGCGGGAAAGACAATGGCTTGAATTCACTGATTCTATTGGAAGAGAAACATATGCAAGACAAGTTTGGGCAAAAATTCAGATAGCTAAGGGAGGCAGAATCCGGCCTGCGGCTCACTAAGACTCCCAGGGTAAAGCTGAAGAACTAATTATGAAATGGAGTGATGCGGCGTCCTCCTCCTCCCTCCCTGTAGAAATAAGCAGGGAACAGCTCCTGCGACATAATGACAGAAGAATTAGGATAGCAAGAGCACTGTCTAGTGATGACGAGCATGGCCAACCAATTACAGCCCAGGAAGTAAAGGGGGCTATGAAAAAGGGTAAAAGTACTGCACCTGGTGAAGATGGCGTCACCTACGACATACTCAGTGTACTGTGTGAGATGTCTGGGAATCCATTACTCCACCTGTTTAACAAATCATTCCTAAGTGGAGTGTTGCCCTCACAATGGAAACATGCAATAATCGTTCCCATACGAAACCCAATGACCCTGGCAATTACAGACCTATCAGTCTCTTGTCATGCACTTGCAGATGCTTGAAACGATCATCCTAAACCGACTATTGCACAAAATAGGCAGGTTAGGGGAGGTGGGTCAATGGATTTGTTAAAGGACGGAGCACAGCAAATTGTATAGTTAATTACTTGAACACTGCTAAGTATTGTGCATTTGTTGACATCAAAGGAGCCTTCGTCAAAGCATAGGGGATTGCGATCCTGGACGAACTTGCATGCATGGGTGTCAAGGGAAGACTCATGAAATGGATTGAAAACTACCTCACAGGGGAGGAAAGCCCAGGTCTTCTTCAACGGAGCAGTCTCCAGAACAATGAGTATAGAACTCGGGATCCCCCAAGGAGGGGTCTTAAGCTCCCACACTATTTAACATACTTATGAACGCCGTTGCAAATATTGAATTTCCGGAAGGAACATAACAAGTGGGATATGCAGATGATGTCCTAATACAAGCTCCCACCTTGGGAAAATTAAACAGCTCATAGAACTCCTTGGAAGTAAATGTTTCGAACTAGGTTTCACTCACTTCACAAACAAAACAAAAGCATACTCTCATTACAAGTAGGGAGAAAATGAAGAAAACTACAAATTAATGGTGTAAACCTCGAATGGGTGGACCACTATCGGTACCTTGGCGTCGCTGTCGGCTCTAACAGGGGGAAGAAAGAAGAGCTCAACCAACTCATAAGAACATGCAAAATTCGACCCAGGGCACTGAAAGCAATGACCTGGAATGGTCATGGGGCCTCTATTACTGTGCTTAAAATGATATGCCACGCCAGTTTTGTGCACTTATTTCGAATGTGATATGAAAAAACTTGAAAGCATACAAACTAAAGCCATGACAATCATTCTTGGAGTCCCAAGAACTGACAAAACGTCTAATCTACGAGAGGAGTTGTCCCTCCCCAGTGTTAAAAGTCGAATTCAGGAACTGAATGCTAAGCTTGCAATTAAGATAGCCAGAGATCCACATTACAATGATATCGCCAAGAAAAAACTGAGCTCAAGAGAAAGGGGGAGGAAACAAGAGAAGCAGAAAATAGCATCACAGATCAGTTTGCTAACTCGAAGAACTTCACCTGCTTCAGCAAGCCCGTGAGCTCAAGCCTGTAGAGAGGTTACCTCCCTGGGTGGATGACCCATGCAGGATCATCATCAATGAAATGAGAACGAAAAAGTCCAACATGATAGGTCAAGAAATGGGATACAGTTATGTGGAGGAAATCTATATAGAAGCCGGAAATAAGTTAGATCAAATCTACACTGATAGGTCATCTTACCCTGACAATGGCAGGGCTGGTGCAGCATACACTGTAATTAGGAATAATGCCTTACAACGCGGAAATGAAGGAAAGGCCCGTACTGAGAACTATACCTCTTCAACAAAAGCGGAGTTAACTGTCATTGTTATGGCGATAAGATTCCTTGAACGAAGCATTATTGTTGCAGTGATCTGCACTGACTCTAAAGCAGCGCTACAAAGCCTTAGTAAAATACGGGCAGAAAATCTTGCCATAGTCGCTGAGATCATGAGAGCGGTGAGAGTACTAACCAATCAAGGAAGAATCGTCAATTTTCTGTGGATCCTCTCCCATGTTGGAATCTGTGGAAATGAACGAGCAGATGTGCTGGCTGCTGAAGACCTGAAGGAGACCATATTGAATACTTCATACCCAAGACTCCTCTACAAATTAGAGGTATCATCAGGCAACATCACCGTGACAAGGTTACCGAGGAAAGGAGGACAGAAGAACAAATCAGTGTATCTGTATGCTCGTAAAATATGATTGCAGCTGGTAATCCCAATCATTATAGACGAAGAGGAGGTGGCCACGGGAGAGAATCAGTAATAGCAAGAATTCGTCTTGGATACAAATATCCATGGAGATTCGGAATGGAAAGAACAGTTGAGCAGAGGAGTTGCAGAATCTGCGGTGAGAGGGATGGCCACCACCTTGACCACTACCTGAGAGTATGTGAATACCTGAGAGACATTAGAAATATGTGTAGAACAATAAACCTCACATTGTTTGAGTTAGGAAAACACTATTTGTCAAATACAGATAATGTTCTTAAGAGATTCCCCCCCCCTCCCATTATGCACCCGCAAGATAACGTAAGATTTTAAGGATTGACGAATTGTCAATCCTTGGATTGACAATCCTTGAATTGTCAATAAGGATTGTCTTATTATTTGATAAGCTGTTCACTTGAGACAGTTAAGCATTTCCCAGCAGTGTCTGGGTACAAGTGACTGGATGAACAACCCAGAGGGCTTTCTTCCTATTGGGAAGTGTAGTACACGCTGCTATGGCGGTATGTCCACTCATAGGATGAGTGGCACTGCCCAATAAACTCGCCCCTTGGAGCAAAATTTAAAAAAAGAAACGTTTCTAGCTCAGACAGGGCATAACATAATTAAGTGTTGCGTGATTGACCATAACATAATTGCGTGTTGCGTGATTGAGCACAGCTTTATGAAAGTGCACAATGGCAGAGAAACCGACCATTGATACTCTGGAAGAAGTTCAGGAGTTCCTAAACCATGAAAACTGCCTCCTCAAATTGAAGTATTTAGGGAAACAGGAATTAGTGTTTATAAGTGCCTACCTTGAAGTGAGCGATCAAGATTCACGTGTTGTGATACTCTCAACAGTATATAGGCATTTGAAACCTAACAGTAAGAAGGAAAGTGTAGTTCGTAGTAAAAGTGAGTGTCATGTCTTCCTTTGAAATGAAAACCAAGAAAGTGATGGTGAGTGACCCGAGTGAACTTAATGGGAGCCTGTTAACAGTAAAAATGTGAGAATTGAAGATAAATCGTGAAATTGAGTTGAAACGGTTGGAAAGAGAAGAAAGGAGCGAGCAAGAGAAGAAAGGAACGAGAAAGAGAAGAAAGGAGAGAAGAGCGAGAAAGAGAAGAAAGGCGAAAAGAAAAGGAGAGAGAAAGACAACATAAAGATTATGTGGTAGAAGGGAATCCTGTGGTTTTAATCCAGTGTGGAACATTAAAATAATGCCTAAATTCAATGAGAAGGAGGTGTCCAAGTTCTTTGCTACTTTCGAGAAGGTAGCTGCATCATTAGACTGGCTAAGAGACAATTGGGCAATTATGATCCAATCAGGGCTGACTGGGCAGGCACTCCCAAGCCAGTCCTAGCAATTTGGGCCAACCAAAACAGCGTACTCCACCCTGTCAGTAAGTGACTAGTGATTACGACGCTGTCAAGGTGGTGGTGTTGATGGCTTACCAGTTGGTACCTGAAACACATAGGCAGAAGTTTCGCAACCTTAAGAAGACATCAGAGCACACCTTTACAGAGTTTCCGTGTATTAAGGAGCGGCTGTTTTACAAATAATGTGCGTCTCGTAAGGCGGAGACCAAAGAACAACTGGATCAATTCGTCTTATTGGAAGATTTCGAAGAGTGTTTGTCCGGTGATCTGAAGACGTACTTGGAGGAGCAGCAAGTAGAGACGTTGGGTGCAGCAGCCAACATGGCTGAAGAATATATTCTAATCCATAGGCCAATTCTTCGGAACATACCAGGTATGTTTCGAAGAGCTACTCAAAATAATTTTTGAAGAATGAGCCCGAAGAGAAGACCATCCCAAGTGGTGCCCAGGTAGTCCAAGACGAAATAGTCCAAGGAGATACAAAGTCTTTTGGGCCTGCGTGAAGAAAGGACATATGTCTGCTAAGTGTAGAAGCAGGACAGGTAACCACCCGCATGGGGAGGTTTTGCTGTTGAGTTGTGTGACACCATCAGAAGAAACCCATTCCCTAGGGACAAATAGAGAGAAACCAGGATTGTTTACCCCTACACTTCGAAAGGGGATGTGTGTCGAGACTGGCAGACCGGAATGGCAGGTCTGTAGTGATTCCCAGAGATGGTGGAGGAGCCCAATCTCTGAATTTGAGAAACTCGTTAGCCGAGGAATTGCCTACTGATGGGAAACAAAGTGATATTTTAGGTGGGTTTCTCTCGACTAGGTACGTTGCCTGTACCTGGTAGCCAAAGTCGTGTACTTCCTGTATTCCGGATTCCTGTCTCCCTGGGGGACAGTCAGAACGGTACAGAAAACGCCTTCTGCAACCAGCCACCAGCGGTACCGCTGCTCAGGAAGGTGTTGGCAGTTCGCCTCAGTTTTTCGATCTTCCTCAGAGCCTTGGTGCTTACGTTAACCAAGGAGTGTAAGGTGGCCCAGCTCCTGACAAGCATAACAGTCAGGTCATTGCCCGTTGTCTTGGTGTTTGCTCTGTTCAAGGCACCTCTATTGATACAGCTCCTAGAGCAGGATTTTCTCATGACATTGAGAGTCCATATACATATATTTGAATTTGTCAAGACCTCTGTTATCGTTTTAGGATATCTCGTTGGTGGAGGATGGATCGCCCCGAAGAACAGAAACGTAGAAGCCGTCGTTCTGTACCTGACCCCTTCCATACGTAAGGAGGCACTGTGTTTCCTGAGTATGGCCCGATTCTACCATAAGTTTGTTCCAAACGTGTCGACGATCGCAGTTCATTTGACGAATCTCCTGAAGAAGGGGATAACGTTCATGTGGGACAAGGACAATCAGTTGACTTTAAGAGTTTAAAGGCCATATTGATTGGGCACCATTCCTTCACCCCCCCCCAGATCCATCCCAAATCCTAATCTTCTAAGTGTCATAAAGTCGTAATGGCTTGGCACTCTCTCCTGATAATTAAAAAAAAATCATCCCCCATTCTCATATTAAATAATTTTGAAAACAGACTCATTTTAGCTGTAGATGCTTCAGACTGCGGCCAAGGGGCAGTGTTATCACAGAATGATGCTAAAGGGAAAGAACACCCTGTAACATATTATTCTAAGAAGTTCAGTAATTGCCAACAAAATTATTCTGTGATATAGAAGGAAACATTGGCCCAAGTTAGCGCTGTTCAACATTTTGATGTCTATTTAGCAAGCAGTGGTCACTTAATTTTGTTCAGGTCTGACCATAATCCTTTATATTTCTTGCAAAATTCCAGCAGAAAAATCTCCGACTATTCAGATGGAGTCTACACCTCCAGCATTTCTCCCTTTATATTGAACACATTAAAGGGGGTAGACAACGTGGTAGAAGATGCCTTGTTATGCTTCTAGATTACAAATTTGTTTTATTTTATTTTTAGAAACCAAACCAAATTCTTTTTTTGGCGGGTAGGTGTGACGATATCAACATCGTTGCTTTAGCGAGGAGTGGCGATATGGCGCCATCTAGGGACTTGCACTCATCCTCCAAGGCGTTAGGTGTGACGAGGACAACGCCATCTGTTGCCGGAAGTGTGGTAAGTTCGGCGCCATCTGTGAAAGGCTCCTGTTCGTACCTCAGTTAGTAGGTGAGGACGATGATGAAGACCTCTGGTGAGTGAAGTAACAATATGATCGCCATCTAGAATGTGCATCCGATTATATTTTCAGTTCTCTGGTAAAAGGCTGTCATCCTATGTTCTTCTTGAATGCCTTCTTTCTAGCTAATAACTATTATGTTCACAGAGGTGACGTGGAGGGTCTACTGCATTTTGGAAATCAGTTCACCTTGGGCAGTCCAGAAACTCCTGACTTGTTCATGCTAGGACAAGTGGCCGTCGCCGGTAGACAGTGTGCTGCACACTGTTGTGTTGTGATATTGTTGTGGACCGACGTACCCGGGATTACCCAGGAGGAGTTACAAGACGACAGTACTGGCCGTTTGCTGATCAGTCCTGTTAGTGTGTAGTCCAAATTCTGCCAGAGTGTTACAGGAGACTCCTGGACGTATTACTTGTGACCCCTGTCAGCGTGTTGCTGAAGACCTCTACCAGTGTGTTCTGGAGAGCAGATTAGCGGTATTTGGATATCGTGACGATATGGTGTGTGGACTGGCCCATGCTTAGGAAGGTGAATTCGCCGGTAATGACCATTGGACGTGGATGATGTATACTTGAAGATAGTGGACTCACCAGGATTTTGAAGAACACTGCAGATATATTAAGTGTCCTGTGCAAAAAAGACACTGTGTGTACATATGTGTAGTTATGACAAATTATATCAGTGAGGGTGTTATTTAGTCTTGCTGACTCCCCTTTATTCCTTGCACAATTACTTGCTACTGACATTTCTTGATAACTTACTTTGGGTGGGATCACGGAAGAAAAGGCTTTAAGGCCACATTCGCAGAAAGAATCCGGTTACTGGATTTAGGAAGCCGTAACAGTCTTGTCTTCTTAGGTGTAAACTAACAAGGTGTTGTAATATAGGGATGAAACAAACATAGCATTGTCTTGTATGATGTAAATTAACATGATCTTGTCATGTAAGATGTAAACTAACAGTCTTGGCTTATAGGATGAAAACTAACAAGGTTTTGACTCGTAGGATGTAAACTAACATGTTCTCGTTTTGGAATATGTAAACTAACATGTTCTCGTTTTGGAGGATGTAAACTGTCATGTTCTCGTTTTGGAGGATGCAAACTGTCATGTTCTTGTCTTGGAGTATGCAAACTGTCATGTTCTTGTCTTGGAGGATGCAAACTGTCATGTTCTTGTCTTGGAGGAAGTAAACTGTCATGTTCCTGTCTTGGAGGATGCAAACTGTCATGTTCTTGTCTTGGAGGATGTAAACTGTCATGTTCTTGTCTTGGAGGATGTAAACTGTCATGTTCTTGTCTTGGAGGATGTAAACTGTCACGTTCTTGTCTTGGAGAATGTAAACTGTCACGTTCTTGTCTTGGAGGATGTAAACTGTCATGTTCTTGTGCTGGAGGATGTAAACTGTCATGTTCTTGTCTTGGAGGATGTAAACTGTCATGTTCTTGTGCTGGAGGATGTAAACTATCATGTTCTTGTGCTAGAGGATTTAAACTATCATGTTCTTGTGCTAGAGGATGTAAACTGTCATGTTCTTGTCTTGGAGGATGTAAACTATCATGTTCTTGTGCTAGAGGATGTAAACTGTCATGTTCTTGTCTTGGAGGATGTAAACTGTCATGTTCTTGTCTTGGAGGATGCAAACTGTCATGTTCTTGTCTTGGAGGATGTAAACTGTCATGTTCTTGTCTTGGAGGATGTAAACTGTCATGTTCTTGTCTTGGAAGATGTAAACTGTCATGTTCTTGTCTTGGAGGATGTAAACTGTCATGTTCTTGTCTTGGAGGATGTAAACTGTCATGTTCTTGTCTTGGAGGATGTAAACTGTCATGTTCTTGTCTTGGAGGATGTAAACTGTCATGTTCTTGTGCTGGAGGATGTAAACTGTCATGTTCTTGTGCTGGAGGATGTAAACTGTCATGTTCTTGTGCTGGAGGATGTAAACTGTCATGTTCTTGTGCTGGAGGATGTAAACTGTCATGTTCTTGTCTTGGAGGATGTAAACTGTCATGTTCTTGTCTTGGAGGATGTAAACTGTCATGTTCTTGTCTTGGAAGATATAACTGTCATGTTCCTGTCTTGGAGGATGTAAACTGTCATGTTCTTGTCTTGGAGGATGTAAACTGTCATGTTCTTGTCTTGGAGGATGTAAACTGTCATGTTCTTGTCTTGGAGGATGTAAACTGTCATGTTCTTGTCTTGGAGGCTGTAAACTGTCATGTTCTTGTCTTGGAGGATGTAAACTCGTTTACCAACAACAATGCTTTTGTCAATAAATCTTGGAATGAAATAAGAGAACAGAGGCATTTGAAGAATTTTTTTTATTATGTGAATAATCCATATGTGTTTGTGGAGTGAAGGGATAACTTAGCAATATGAGGAAGGAACAGTAACTGCCCCCACACCTGATAACCCAGCCCGTCCTCCTAAGGTTCCGCAACGTCAAGAAACTATCGTACTAAAGCGCTCTTATCCGAACCTACTAGAGGTCCCAAAACAGAAAACGGAACACTGTCACTTTAGCGAGCCGTTACCATTTTCTAGAACAATTTTTAGCCTTAGAGTATACGTCAAAATACGATTAGGAGGACGGGTTACAGGGTACTTATGAGGTATAATTCCACTATTCATTAAACAGAACTGGTGGCTAATTCACAGCGCCTTAGCAACACCTCTCTGTACCCTTAACAACTCTATTACAAATTTGAACAGCCATACACACCAAGTGTTGAAGTACAAACAACTTATTCTTTGTTTAAAAAGATATCACATACGAGAAAATACTGAGGTTGTTTGATGGGATCGACCCTGCGTCTCTGTACTCCCCAGGCACACGGGGACTCAGTCACATCCTCAGTATTTTATCATAGATACATCACGTTTTTGTGTTTTAATTGTGCATATTAGATATATAATTTCTGTTGCAGGCTGCCATCACAGATACAATTTCTCTTAATGTTACACAGATACAATCTCTTTTGCAGTTGCATTCACAGATTAATCTACTGTTGATGTTACAATCACATGTGCAACTTTTGTTGTAGGCTCCAATCACGGCTACAACTTATGTTGAGGTTACAATCACAGATTCATCTACTGTTGATGTTTCAATCACATGCACAACTCTTGTTGCATGCTGCAATCAGAGATACAACTTCTGTTATATGCTGCAATCACTGATACAACTTTTGTTGATGATGCAAACACATATACAACTTTTGTTACAGGCTGCAATCACAGCTACAATAGTTGTTGAGGTTGCATCATTCACAGGTGCAAGTTCTGTGGGGATTGCAGTCTCATCCACAGCTTATGTTTCTTAGTGTTGCAATCACTGGTAAATTAACTCCAAGATATTTCTTGTGTATCAAAGTGGCCTTGGAAGCAAGGTTTAGATCTGACTTTATAGAGTGAGAGGCAATGATAGATTTAGAGTTTGTGAATGGTTAAGGGTTGGTAGGCAGCTGGTAGATTTAGAAATAATGATTGGTAACTAGCAGGTAATTATAGGTATAGTCCATTTGTATTTTTAAGGGAAGGTTGAGGGTTGACAAAGAGATTAGCGAAGGCTAATATTGATAATGCTTTGTATAATACCAATATAAATTAAAATTGCAATTAATAAAATTACATTTGAGTAAATTGTTAAAGAACAACGTGTTAGATTGTTTTATGTAATTGTTTTACTTTGCTTGGATTAAGTTTTGCTTAGTAGAACGTTATCATTAGAATATTGTTTGTTGAAATATTGGATGTATTAGATATTGTTCATGTATTGAGAAGAATATTTTTCATCTTTATTGGAAATATGTAAATTTGAATATTGATGATATCTTGGGGAATATTTTTCACCTTTATTGGATAAATGTACATTTGAATATTGATCATGTTCATTAGAATATTTATTTATGTTTCATGCCACGTCGTTTATGTTTCCTTAAATAATGTTCAGGATTGTTGACCAGACCACACACTAGAAGGTGAAGGGACGACGACGTTTCGGTCCGTCCTGGACCATTCTCAAGTCTCAATCGACTTGAGAATGGTCCAGGACGGACCGAAACGTCGTCGTCCCTTCAACTTCTAGTGTGTGGTCTGGTCAACATACTTTAGCCACGTTATTGTGACATCGCCTGCAATGTTCAGGATTGTTACAGTTTCGTTCACACGTACAGTACTGTAGTACACGTACAGTACTGTAGTACACGTACAGTACTGGAGTACACGTACAGTACTGTAGTACACGTACAGTACTGTAGCACACGTACAGTACTGTAGTACACGTACAGTACTGTAGCACACGTACAGTACTGTAGCACACGTACAGTACTGTAGCACACGTACAGTACTGTAGCACACGTACAGTACTGTAGCACACGTACAGTACTGTAGCACACGTACAGTACTGTAGCACACGTACAGTGCTGTAGCACACGTACAGTACTGTAATACACGTACAGTACTGTAGCACACGTACAGTACTGTAATACACGTACAGTACTGTAGCACACGTACAGTACTGTAATACACGTACAGTAGGCAACTATTAACCCTATTTCAAGTACGGAGCGCCCCAGGATTATGAACATTTAGGTTTTTCATATTATTTGTCTCTACAAAGTGGATTTTACACCATGATTTTTGGTTGGTTCAGGAACACAGTCTGCATCTAGCGACCAGCCCCCCCCCCCTCCCCTCCGGGTCCAGCAACACAGCCTGAATCTATCGACCAGTCCCCTCGAGTCCAGCAACACACCCAGAATCTATCGACCAGTCCTCCCAAGTCCAGCAACACACCCAGAATCTATCGACCAGTCCTCCCAAGTCCAGCAACACACCCAGAATCTATCGACCAGTCCTCCCAAGTCCAGCAACACACCCAGAATCTATCGACCAGTCCTCCCAAGTCCAGCAACACAGCCTGCATCTATCGACCAGTCCTCCCAAGTCCAGCAACACAGCCTGAATCTATCGACCAGTCCTCCCAAGTCCAGCAACACAGCCTGCATCTATCGACCAGTCCTCCCAAGTCCAGCAACACAGCCTGCATCTATCGACCAGTCCCCTCGAGTCCAGCAACACACCCAGAATCTATCGACCAGTCCTCCCAAGTCCAGCAACACAGCCTGCATCTATCGACCAGTCCTCCCAAGTCCAGCAACACAGCCTGCATCTATCGACCAGTCCTCCCAAGTCCAGCAACACAGCCTGCATCTATCGACCAGTCCTCCCAAGTCCAGCAACACAGCCTGCATCTATCGACCAGTCCCCTCGAGTCCAGCAACACACCCAGAATCTATCGACCAGTCCTCCCAAGTCCAGCAACACAGCCTGCATCTATCGACCAGTCCTCCCAAGTCCAGCAACACAGCCTGCATCTATCGACCAGTCCTCCCAAGTCCAGCAACACAGCCTGCATCTATCGACCAGTCCTCCCAAATCCAGCAACACAGCCTGCATCTATCGACCAGTCCCCTCGAGTCCAGCAACACAGCCTGCATCTATCGACCAGTCCTCCCAAGTCCAGCAACACAGCCTGCATCTATCGACCAGTCCTCCCAAGTCCAGCAACACAGCCTGCATCTATCGACCAGTCCTCCCAAGTCCAGCAACACAGCCTGCATCTATCGACCAGTCCTCCCAAGTCCAGCAACACAGCCTGCATCTATCGACCAGTCCTCCCAAGTCCAGCAACACAGCCTGCATCTATCGACCAGTCCTCCCAAGTCCAGCAACACAGCCTGCATCTATCGACCAGTCCTCCCAAGTCCAGCAACACAGCCTGCATCTATCGACCAGTCCTCTCTAGTAGCGTTTTCATCGCATTTTGATGTTTAGATTTATATAAATCGCAAAGTTGACGTAATGTCCCGTTTTCTTCTCGTGGGCGCTTTTCTCGTTCTTGTCGAGGGTGAACTTGGGGACTGAATCCCGTTCGTAACTTGGGGACTGAATCCCGTTCGTAACTTGGGGACTGAATCCCGTTCGTAACTTGGGGAATGCATCCCGTTCGTAACTTGGGGACTGAATCCCGTTCGTAACTTGGGGACTGCATGCCGTTCGTAACTTTGGGACTGCATCCAGTCCGTAACTTGAAAGCTACATCCCGTTCGTAACTTGGAGACTGCCCTAACTGTATTCACAGGAGTATATAGTAAACGGCTGATGTTACAAATGTGTTTGAATGCCAAAGGGCGAAGATAATTGTACCCGATACAGGGAGTAATCCCGCTGATTGTACGTAAACTGTACTCTGTAGATTAATAAGTGTTCCACTGACATCATGAGTGTACATAGTGTACATGTGTGTGAGAGGAGCAGGGTGTACATGTGGTGTACATATTGTGTGTCTGAGAAGCAGAGTGTACATGTGGTGTACATATTGTGTGTGAGAGGAGAAGGGTGTACATGTGGTGTACATATTGTGTGTGAGAGGAGAAGGGTGTACATGTGGTGTACATATTGTGTGTGTGTGTGAGAGAAGCACGGTGTACATGTGGTGTACATATTGTGTGTGAGAGGAGCAGGGTGCACATGTGGTGTACATATTGTGTGAGAGGATCAGGGTGCACATATTGTGTGTGAAATGAGCAGGGTGTACATATTGTGTGTGAGATGAGCAGGGTGCACATATTGTGTGCGAAAAAAGCAAGGTGTACATGTGGTGTACATATTGTGTGTGAGAGAAGCAGGGTGTACATGTGGTGTACATATTGTGTGTGAGAGGAGCAGGGTGTAATAATTTGTTATAATAGGCAAGAAACATGCAAGCTGACTGAAACGAGAGCCATTAACGTAGCTGGAAGATGAAGCCCCAACGAAAGCTTGAAGCTGAAGGTTAAACTCCAGCCGTAGGCTGTTGTAGCTTCACCCTCAGTTTGAATCTGAAGTTCAAACTCCAGCTGCAAGTTCAGTCACTGACGCAAGCGCGGGACTCCTAACGCAAGCGGCTGGTTCATTGATCTAATATAACAGACGCACTCAATGCCTCAGACCGGACTTTCAATAAGAGTCCGAGCAAAATTGTTTACTTTCCAAAGAATTGACATTATCAATAAGGCATTTATCCACGTCCAAACCCAAAATAGGTTCATATATATATATATATATATATATATATATATATATATATATATATATATATATATATATATATATATATATATATATATATAAATATATATATATTATGCATATAAACATACATACTGCCACTTATATTCTTATGTAAGTCACCAATAAGTAAGCAGTCATGTATGTATATTTTTAAGGCTGAAAATTTGATCAATAAATTATTAATTCTAACATAATTTTAACACTAATAAAGTTGCCATATAACTCGGTCATTTAGTGCTAATAGTAATAGAACTGGGCCAGTATTTACAGTGATTAGCTGAGCAAATCACTTGAGTGATCAGCTGATCCAGTCTTTGCAGTGATAAGCTGAGTCAGTCATAACAGCGACCAGCTGAGTCAGTCATCACAGCGACCAGCTGAGTCAGTCATCACAGCGACCAGCTTAGTCATCACAGCAACCAGCTGAGTCAGTCTTCACAGCGACCAGCTCAGGCAATCATCACAGCGACCAGCTGAATCAGTCATCACAGCGACCAGCTGAGTCAGTCATCACAGCGACCAGCTTAGTCATCACAGCAACCAGCTGAGTCAGTCTTCACAGCGACCAGCTCAGGCAATCATCACAGCGACCAGCTGAATCAGTCATCACAGCGACCAGCTGAGTCAGTAATCACAGCGACCAGCTGAGCCAGTCACCACATTGACCAGCTGAGCCAGTCACCACATTGACCAGCTGAGCCAGTCACCACATTGACCAGCTGAGCCAGTCACCACATTGACCAGCTGAGCCAGTAGCCACATTGACCAGCTGAGCCAGACACCACACTGACCAGCTGAGCCAGTCACCACATTGACCAGCTGAGCCAGTCACCACATTGACCAGCTGAGCCAGTAGCCACATTGACCAGCTGAGCCGTTCTGCTTAACGTTACTACTGCTCTTTCTAAAGCACCGTACTCGAGTGCACACACACATTAACAAACAATGCAATATGTGCATTCATATCACCTTATTGCTCAATGTCACATATGCATAGTTTCTCCTACAAGTTAAAACCATTTAAGCTATATTGTCTTTGATGAAAACGTGATTTTATTTACGTGCAGTCCTTTACAAACTTTTATATGTTTTATGACGTGACTTTGACACTACTGAGCCTTACTTCGGAAGTAAATATATTATCCAAACTAAGCATTCGGATTTGCAGAACAGGGGGTTAAGCATCTTTTGCCCCTTGTTTATTATTATGCAGGGAGATAATTACTTATGCTTCCTGCGTAAGTAATTTTTGTCATTTAAAACTACTCTGAACTACTTTTCAGTGAAGGCTTGGATATTTTGACTCTAACGGGAGTGTCTATTGTCCTTACAAGGGGGTTCGATCCCTTTAAACGTTTCTTAATCGTCAACACACATAAGGCCATAATTCATAAACGAACTGCAATTAAGATGACATGTCAAGGGTTAAACACTCTTCTTGATAATTTACAAATTCATATTCTGGCGACAAGAAGCATTTGCACCCTTAAAACTGGTGAATCATTAGGCAAAGAGCGGACATGTGTCTTCTCCTGTTTATAAACAGACTGAACTTCTATAAACAGTTTTCTACAAACAAAACTAAAACAGGCTGTCCTCTATAAACAGCTTGTTTTCTAAATCATAGACTCTGGTGATACATTCCGTCACTAAGGGCTCATAGAGTACCACAAGGAGGGAGTCATGTATCCTAGACTCTGGTGATACATGCCGTCACGCAGGACTCATAGAGTACCACAAGGAGGGAGTCATGTATCCTAGACTCTGGTGATACATTCCGTCACGCAGGACTCATAGAGTACCACAAGGAGGGAGTCATGTATCCTAGACTCTGGTGATACATGCTGTCACGCAGGACTCATAGAGTACCACAAGGAGGGAGTCATGTATCCTAGACTCTGGTGATACATGCTGTCACGCAGGACTCATAGAGTACCACAAGGAGGGAGTCATGTATCCTTTTCTGTGGCTACAACTAGTGACGGTGCATTGGAGATCCCAAGATGCTACCAGACGGGCATACAAGGTCTCTGCACACTAACTCCAACACCGTATATGCTGCACTAACAATGCATCGCCACATATGGTGCACCAACAATGTAACACCATATATAATGTACTAACAATGCAACACCATATATGATGTGCCAACAATACATTACCATATATGTTGTACCAACAATGCAACACCTTATACGATGCAACAATATATATAATGTACTTACAATGCAGCACCATATATAATGTGCCAACAACATTATCTGGTACCAAAGACCATCTTATAAAATGGATATGCAAGCTACTATACCTACATTGTGGTACAAGTGATGTGTGAATTATGTAATTATTAACAATATAAACTTCAAGAAAATCAATATGCATTAAAGCAACTTAAATCCTTGTTGCATGGAACTCCTACAAAACGCTCCATAGTCCTCAGGAAGGATTAAATTTACGGCTGTTTGAATCCATTAATAATAAACCTCTAAGAATTTACTAACAGTGTCATTATATTTATATATAAAAAAAATAAGCAGCTCACTTTATTGTTCTATAAGAACAAGTGCATACCAACAGTAATATATAAATTGTATTTATATCACAAACTTGAAAACTCTCATGCTTATAAAGAAGGATTTGCAATGATCACCAGAAGAAGGTGTCAAACAATTATTCTTTAATTAAGGAAGGGGTAACTCGCGAATCTTTTCATACACGCACACACACTTAAACGGTCTCAACAACAGGTGAACGTAATTGGTCGTTACTGCGTCAACACACCAAAACTCCAAGGTTTGTACAGAGTAGAGCACACTCTGGCTATAGCGATAACCATCTTGTATTTTTTTTTTAATTATATATTATTTTCTGGTGGGGTAATTTGTGGAAGGCGAGTAACAAAACAGCTTGCAGTGGTGAAAGTTATACAGTGACATCAGTAGAAAAAGTTATATGTTGACATCAATGCAACCGTTAAGTGCTGACATCAATGAGTAATATTAGTCTGCCTTTAATCTAGATAGTTTCTACCTGTTTAAGTAACTTTGTGAAATTGAATTTGGACCTTGGATGTCAGTGACAAATGATGTTTTCAATTAAAAGTGCAAGTGATAGTGTATTCAGCTCTTGAAATCCAATAGTGCATATGCCATTGTACAATAGAAGAATTTTAAGTATGACGGAACGTGACAGCTCATCGCGACTTCGATTGTAAGTAACGAGAGCACTCCGAGGTCATGCTAACTAAACAACACTGCAAGTTTTATTCTCGTTTGAGTGATTATATGCGGCAACTGCGAACTTATCATAAGAACTGAACACCTAGATGCAGCCATTATTAGTGCAAGATGGGTTTTCAAAGCAGCAAAATAAAAAAGATATCAATAGCAACGCTGATGGCTATACAGCCTCGCGAACTTTAGGGTAATATAAACGATACAAAATATAATTGTTAACAATAACAAGCTGGTGAAAATTGGATTCGATGCACAATTTGGAAAGGAATTGCAATAGGCCTACTTTTGCATGAGGCCTAAGCTTAAACTCTGTTTATCGACTACAAGAACAAATCCACTTGCTCCCAGCGAATGTTGAGACTCAGGGGGCTTAATTATAGCAAAATGTAATTAACAAGTCTTAATTAACATTAAAATTTTAAAATCTTGTTAATTCAGTAAATCATGCAATTAAATATATTAGGAATTAGTGATAGTAAGACTATCCTAACTATTAACGAGAGAGCGTGTTGCATGCCACAATGAAAGACAGCCATTTGCTTATGATTGAAATTAAATGTAGATTCGATAATTTGAAATATAGTATGTAAACATACTTTCTGATACAGAGTATATATATATATATATATATATATATATATATATATATATATATATATATATATATATATATATATATATATATATATATATATATATATATATATATAATTTATGGTTTGATAATAAAAATCTCTATCAAACAGCATTATATCGAAGCGTTGCAAAACACAACACTATGTCCAAGGCAGTTACGGGAACATTTGGAAATTATCCAAAACGGAGGCACTTTATCTTCCATCCCATTGTACATGCCATATGAAAGTCTTGGCATTGATCATTCTGCCTGATCAGAAAAAGTCATAATCTGTGACAGTGAAAAAGTTTGCTGTTAAAAAAATGCTAAAGGAAACTGTCATGTATGAGAGTTAGATAGGCTGTAAATGTCAATGACTAGGAACTCATGAAGGCATTGTTAAACTTTCCAATTAATAAGTCTTAAACTTTCTGAATAATAAGCCTTTGACTCCATAATGCCATGCCCGTTTCGGATAACATATGTTCCCATATCACATTGTAAAGAGAAAAGGCTTTTGCGACCATTTTAAATGGTGTTATTCTTAGCGTCTACACTTTATCTGCTATTCTTAATTTTTTAAATAGGCCTGCATAGAATTCCAGCAATGATTGCTACCTTTAATATATCTGCTACTTCATCTCCCTCTAACCTAGAGTTACATAAACAGCACTTTTTTATATTGAATTAATGAGTTCCACATTGCTTATCTTTGCTGACATATTTTTCATTTACACTTATATTCAAATTCTGAATATTTTCCTAAGCATCTGAAGAATACTGAATTAAGATTCAACGATACAAAATTTGAGCTTTTTTAGTTAAATATTTGATGAAAGTCAGTGCACGTTTTTCTAGCAAATTAATTAAACGTCCTTTGTTTTGATAATTGACAAGTACGCAATGATAATTGATAATTAATTTGTTTTGTTAACAGTGAGTCACAAACGCCTGAGTCACTCCCATTATTCAGGATATACATTTAACTATTAAAGGAAGGAGAACTCATTTGAAGATTCATTATTTTCTAGAGATGAGGATGGCTGGAGTGGCAGGTGGTTGCATCTTGAGAAGATCACAGGTGTTCAGGACAGGTGTTCAGCACAGATGTTCAGTATAGGTTTTCAGACCAGGGGCGCAGTTATCTTACATAATCACGCAGAAAGGAGTTTTAGGTGCTGATTCCTGAAAATAAAGACGAAGTAAAAGAGAGGAGGAGGAAATTATTGGAAATTATTGCTTGCCACCTATATTTGCTCCTAGGCAATTTTTTGGACATTTGAAGAGGAGGGTCTTTATAATGGGTTTATTAACCATAATCAATATTGAACTAAAAAAAACTCTGTGACCACTCGTATGAAGTAATTCATTTATAAAGTTGCATAGTTTGCTCTGCTCTTATCCAATAGTTAGTTATTATTATAATAGGCCACCAATAATAGGCCACGCAATAGTTCAATACGGTAGTAGATTGTGTCTATATTCTCAAATTGGCAGAGGATACCTCTCGGAGTATACTTCCTTGAGAGAATAGTTTTGGTTTGGTGTTGGTCTTCAGGCCTCTCACCATCTGGAAGGTTATTAAGACCAACACAACAGTTTACTGACCAACCAACAAATTTGGTGTTAGGCTTAAGCCAATCGACCATGGAGGGTTATTAAGAGCAACACAATAGTTTTCTGACCAACCAGCAAGTTTTGTGTTGAGCATAAGGCCTATCAACCTCTGGAGGGTTATTAATGCCACCACAATAGTTTACTGACCAACCAGCAAGTTTGGAATTGAGTTTAATGCCAATCAACCTCTGGAGGGTTATTAAGGTCACCACAACAGCTTTCTGACCAACCAGCAAGTTTGATGTTGGGCTTAAAGCCCATCGACCTCTGAATGGTTATTAAGGCCACCACAACTGGAGTGTTATTAGGGTCACCTCAATAGCTTACTGATCATCTAACAAGTATACTCTAGTCAATAACTGTGTTATAAACTAAAGTTAACTCTCAGATACATTAGCCAAGAAATGGGGCAGACCTCAGAGTGGATATACATTAGTTCATGCTCGACGGCCGCTTGGAAGCCTCGCTATTTATGGCAGAATCATTGGTCTTGTGATCTAATATTTGAATATTAATATCAAACGAGTGGATTACAAATTAGTATAATGTGCTGGTTAGTATGATAAGGACTTGAAGTGGCTTTTTTCTATAAGTTATGCTAAACAAAACAAGCGGTGCTATCTACTTCACAGTCACCAGTCTTTTGAACACAGTCAAACTTACTGAAAAGCAGAAGCAAAACATGAAATAGCAAAGAGGTAAAATAAATTAAGATTTAAAATGACACTCTAATCAGGAGAGTTATCCATACATTCCGAGCCCTCCCGCCATACACAACAGTTATCTAAAACCGCTCACACCTGTCTAATGGTCAGAACTATACTGCGAGGCCAACACCTGATGCAAATGAACTAATCAATACTTGTTATTATCAATACAAATATAATCAGCCATTAGCAAGTTATCAAACCTTGAGTAATAATTCTCAGGTCAAGTACGAGGCTAATGGGTCAATATTTGACTTGCTGGGCATTGTGTATCTCTTGTATTAGTCGACTGTTGTGGCTTGTATCCAAAGGAGTGGTAAAATGTTCAACAGATTCAACGGTTTCAAGCTCAACAGGCTACAATGTAGGTGTGAGAACAGGAGATGCTTTTTCACCCACAAGGCCTCACTACCCATGGAATTGCCTACCTGGCGAAGCCGTAACTGACAAAACTGTGCTGCAAAATATAACTGGAAAAGATCGTTATGGCAAATGGGGGACCTTCGACAAGCTGCCGGCTTCTTGTCTTCGTTGAGGCCACTAGGGTTAGTGGCCCTCTGGTATATATTCGAGATATGCAGCAGTTTCCCATAGACGCCGCCAGGCTCAGTACGAGGAGAAAATAGCCAGAAGGCTGAAACAAATGTTAGCTTTGTAATTCTATTTTTAACTAACTTTAATTTAAGTAAATGTAATTTATCTAGTTCTTATGTGCATATAAATCTAAATAGTTGGTTATGTATTTCTGTTGTGTATATAGAGCTCACCAAATGTAGACAATCAGCTCGTCCTTTCCAGCGTTTACGACACAACTAACCTGATGCACTAAATTGCCCAAAGCTAACCTAACCGGATTAAAAGTAGAAAACGAAAGGCCTCATCAATTTTGCGAGCTGCTGTGATTTTTAGTACGCCAGCTTTACGTCGCAGGGGGATTTATACGTCAAAATGTGATGCGGTGTTAGAGAGGCCGGGCTGAAACAGTCCGTAGGGCCGGACTGGAAAGTCCGTAGGAGTACCTAATTCAACAGGCAGGGGTACATGATCCCAGCTTTACGGTCTGCACCACCAAATGGGTCTCTCTCTCTCGCAGGACCAGCACCCCATCCACCATCTTCTGAAGCACATAAGAAATCCAGCTGGGATCACTCCATTGCCGACCAAGAAGCTGCGACATGCTTAGAAACTGGGACAACACCACATGGCACTGTCCGATTTAGAGCTGTAGCAGCTCCCCATGCAGGTGACTTCCTTTTAGCAACCCCAATGTCAGCAATCGGCACACGTCTCACACCGCAGGCCCTCCGAAATGCTGTGGCTCTCTGCCTCGTTGCCCCCAATCCACACTGAATACAGGTGTATTTGTGGCGAGGCAGAGGCCGACAGGTACGGACGGCATGGCCTTCTCTGCCAAAGGGCAGGAGGATGACATGCAAGACACGGCGAAGTTAATGACATTATTAGGAGAAACCTTACTACAGCCGGTTGTCCAGCAGAGAGAGAGCCCCGTTACTTTATGCCCTGAACTCTGATGAGCCTGTCGGTCGCCCAGACGGGATCATGGTGAACCCCTGGAAGAATGGTAAACAGATGGTGTGGGACTACACTTGCGTTTCAACTTTAGCCAACACCTATTATGACTTCAGTGCTGCACAGGCAGGAGGGACTGCCAAACACCAGGAAGCAGCCAAGACGCATAAATACAGAGATCTTGACACTTGGTGCCTGGGGGTAAAAGTGCTGCTAGTTTTTTTAAGGAGCTGGGTGTTACGGTATCGACACCATCGTCGGAGAGTGGCGTGGCAATTACAGCGCCATCTATGAGTCTGCACTCAAACTCCTCTGATATTGGACACTCCGTGGACAACGCCATCTATTGGTGGTGGCGTGACAGCGACAAATGGCTCTGGTTTCCTGCCCCAGTTAGCAAGAGAGGTCGACGTGGATGACCTCTGGTGGAGGGTGTGTCATGATCAACGCCATCTGTTGTAGCTACAGTGCATAATGTCAACTCCCAGGTGAATGAGTGTTACCTCATGGTTTTCCCAGTGTACCATCCATCTAACCGATGACGTTTTGTGTCAACAGAAGTGACGTGTGGAGGCAGTTGTACTGAGGAAGGCAGTTTACCTTGGGCAGTTCATGTACTTTCAGCTTGGTCCTGGAAGAAGACTGAGTGAGCCACCGTCTATCTAAGCAGTGTGTTAGCTGCTAAATTACGCAGTGTTGATAGAAATCGACGAACCCGGGATTGGCTTTGTGTAACGAACGACAGTGAGGTGCCTATTGTGAAGCGCTGCTAGTAGGCTGCTAGAGGCTTCTTCCAGGGGTTAACTACCCATGTATATGGTTGTTTGTGACCCCCTGTCAGCGTGTTCTGACAGGGATCAGAGGACAGAAGTCCTCTGCAAGTGGGTTGCTGGCGAGCGAAAGTGGGGTGTAAGCACCTAGTGTGACTGTCGGTGGACTGGCCCACGTAAATGGTGAACTCGCCAGCGTTTGTTAGTACACGTGCTCAAGGTACTGGACGGTGGAAACACTGGAGCTGGTGAACACTGCCAACGTAGTAGTGTCCTGAGTAAAAGTGCCACTATTGTATATACGTGTAGTCATAATCAATTTAATCTAAGATATTTTTTATTGGGGAAGGTAATTATAGAAAAGAATAGTGTATTGTTTATCCCCCTCTTACTCTTTATTACACTATATTGCCATTTCTTGAAAGCCTACTATTGACTTGGGGGTTGGATACTATAAGAGGTTACAACATCAAGAACCCGGTTACTGGTCCATAGTGGCCGTAACATTGGGGTCCAAGCTAATTGAAACAACTAGAGACCCTAGAGCCGTCATTTTTTATCTTTCAGCGCCTTAGTGTGGCGATCCAGAGAAAAAATGTTCACTACATGGATGGTTCCTGCCCGTCATCTGAAGAGCTGGAAAAGCTCTACAACTTGTGAAAAGTATCATCACAGAAAAGTATATATATGCAAAAAGAATAGGGGCGACAGAAGAAAATATAAAAGTGTTCAGTGAGGATTCACAAGCTCTTCTCTGAGTACTCTTTATTTTCTTCTCCAAGGTTATGAGTCCCTACACTTGCGCCTCAGTACAGGTGATACCACTGGGGGGTACCCCTATATATATATTTATATATATAAGTAACGACTCATCTTTACTGAGTCCTATATACCTGGCTTTGTGAGCACCTTTACTGTCATATATACCTGGCTTTAATACGTGGGAATATTTGCGTGGCGTATTGGACCACCAAGTGTGCCACTCTGTGGGTCTCTAGTCTGGGTTAACGGCTTTTTTTAAATGAGAAATGTATTTGTTTTGTAAACTATTTGGTCTCAAGCCGATACATGAAACTGTTTAACATATTCTTGTTTATGTTTTCTGAATAAATCATTTAATATTTGCATGTAAAACAGAGATACAAATGATCTATTATTTCTAAAACAGAGATACAACTGATTTGTCTCATGTCTTGGAGAACTGGGCACAGTTCTATGAACAGTTGCGCAACTGTTACAGCTCGTTCTAATATAATTGTAAATATATATATTATTAAACACCTGATGCCTTTGTTCACCTAGCAGTAAATAGGTACCTAGGAGTTAGCCAGATGTTGTGAAATTGCATCCAGGGGAAAGATTCTTCATTTTGAAGGCTGACCTTAATAGATGTAACTGACTTCATCTTCCTGGCAATGGTGAACGGAGTGCTTCTCAAACTCCACCCAGCAAGTTAAACTACAGGACCCAGTAGTTCTCACCGTCCTGCCCTCCCAGCGCCTAGGCTTACCCCTCTCTCACGCCCATCCTCTCTCCCATCCACGCTGAATCATTAATTCTCTCACACACTTACACACTACCTCCTCACTCTCTTCCTCAAGCCCCTGGGCTGCCAACTCCTGTCATCTTTGCGCCAGGGTTGACACCATGGGCGGGCGCACTGGCTTGTTATCCAGGATTCGTTCCAGTTCCGCTAGATGCTCTGGCTTCAGCTTGGGCACTACCTGGAACCACAGCCTCGAATGAGTGTGTTTCTAGAGGGAGCTAATTCCTGGAACAACTGTCAGAGTGGTTATGGAACCAGATTCTACAGGGTGCTATCATGAATAACATTGTCATGAGAATAAGTAATTATCAGAAGAATCAAGAACATATGTAATTATTAGATGAATCAAGAAAATATATTATCAAAAGAATCAAATATGAAATTATCAGAAAAATCAAGAAAATGTAATTATCAAAATCAACAAATAATTATGAAAGAAATCAAGAAATAAGAAAATTATCAAGAGTAGCAACATGCAAGTAATTATGACAAGAGATAAAATAAATTCAAAAGAATAGAAAAGTCAGAGGAATCAAGAAATATTACAAGAACCAAGAAATATCACGAGCATAAAAAAAATCTCATGAATCAAAAAATCACAAAAATCAAGAAATACAACAAGAATCAAGAAATGTTACAAGAATCAAGAAATAACACACGAACCAAGAAAAAAAGTAAATAAAATCAAATTGTTTATTCAGGTAAAAGTACATACATAGAAGATGAGTTACAAACATAATGTTGGATTTATAGATAGAGCTAGTACATACAATGCCTAAAGCCACTAATACGCACAGCGTTTCGGGTAAGGTGTGGGAAAAAACACTTAATTAGTATTAGGCTTAATCTGAGATAAAAGAATAAATTGTGTAGAAAAGGGAAAAACGGGGGGGGGGGGGGGACATAGCAGAAATCAATTATACAACTTGGACAACAAACAGTATTGTTTGAAAATAGCAAGACATGGGTTGACATTTAAGGGGTAAGGTAGGTTACATAGAGTTTATTTGGCAGTATACCTAGTTTTTCTCTTAAACTGGTTGAGTGAGGTACAGCCTTTGGCATGATTGGGAAGGTCATTCCACATTCATGGGCCCTTGATTTTTAGAGTTTGGTTAAGGCGGAATCTTGGAATATCAAATAGGTATTTGTTTCTGGTGTGGTGCCTATGGGTTCTGTTACAACCTTCTAAGAAGTGTTTAAGGTCAGGATTGACATTACAGTTCAAAGTTTCAAATATATTAGAGTTCACATGAGAGGACGTGCAGTGACTTAATATCTAACATATTAAAAAATTTAAGTAGGGGTACCGAGTGCTGTCTGGGGGCCAGTGTTTGATATTGTTCTAATAGCAGCTTTGTGTTGAGTAATTAGAGGACGTACATGATTTTGGGCAGTAGAACCCTAAGCACAAATACCATACTTGAGATAACGATAGATGAGAGAGTAATAGAGCGTCACCAGGGCAGGGCGGGGTACATAATATCTGATCTTAGAAAGAATACCAACAGTTTTAGAACAATTTTTTGCTATATTTAGAATGTGTCCCTGGAAATTCAGCTTGGTATCGACGAGGACACCAAGGAATTTACCATCTACTTTGTTATTAATTTGGATATTGTTTATTCTTAGATTAATGTGATCTGAGGATTTATTACCAAACAAAATATAGAAAGTTTTGTCAATGTTAATTTTAATTAAGGGTGAGTTTGTTAGCAGTTAGCCAAAGATGGACTTTATCTAGCTCAGTATTCACTGTGATATTTAAAGCAAGAGGGTCAAGACTGGAGAAAATGAAGGTTGTGTCATCAGCTAATAAAATTGGTTTGAGATGTTGAGAGGCGTGAGAAAAGTCATTAATGTAGATGAGAAAGAGGACCAAGTATGCTGCCCTGTGGAACACAAATGTTGATGGGTAGGGTGGGAGAAATGGAATTATTCACAGTAACATACTGGAGCCTGTCAGTAAGGTAAGGCTGTAGGAGCTGTAGGGAGTGACTTCTGATTCCATAATGATGTAATTTAAGAAAAAGGTTTTGGTGGATGACGGTGTCAAAAGCCTTATGTAGGTCAACAATTAACTAAACAGGGAACTCATTTTTAAATTTATAAATTAAATATAAATTAAGAAATCTCACAGGAATCAAGAAATATTACAAGAACCAAGAAACATCACAAGAACCAAGAAACATCACAAGAACCAAGAAATATCACAAGAACCAAGAAATATCACAAGAACCAAGAAATATCACAAGAACCAAGAAATATCACAATAATCAAGAAACATTAAAAGAGTCAAGAAATATCTCAAGAACCAAGAAATATCTCATGTATCAAGAAATATCACATGAATCAAGAAACATTAAAAGAGTCAAGAAATATCTCAAGAACCAAGAAATATCTCATGTATCAAGAAATATCACAAAAACCAAGAAATATCACAACAACTAAGACTATTACAAGAATAAAAAAAATATCAAAAGAATCAAGAAATATCAAAAGAACCAAGAAATATCAAAAGATCATGAAATACGACAAGAACCAAGAAATATCCTAATAACCCAGAAATATCACAATAATAAAAAAATATCACAATAACCCAGAAATATCACAATAATCAAGAAATATCACAAGAGCCAAGAAATATCACAGGAATTAAGAAATATCACAAGAATCAAGAAATATTTCAGGAATCAAGAAATATCACAATAATCAAGAAATATCACAGGAATCAAGAAACATTAAAAGAATCAAGAAATATCTCAAGAACCAAGAAATATCTCATGTATCAAGAAATATCACAGTAACCAAGATATATCACAATAATCAAGAATTATCACAAGATTAAAAAAATACCACAAGAACAAAAAACATCACAAGAATCAAGAATTATCACAAGATCTAAGAAAAACCACAATAATCAAGACAATCACTACAACCAAGATATTTCACAAGAACCAAGAAATACCACAAGTATCCAGAAATATCACAAGAATCAGGAGGAGAATGATGAGAGAAGGGATGAAGGCGTCACCTGCAGGGAGTTGATGTTCTCCAGGAGCTGGTCGACAGTGGCGGCGCCTATAAGAACGCAGTGTAAGTTGTCGTTCTTGAGGCTCCAAGCCACTGAGAGCTGGGTTAGTGTACAGCCCAGTCTCTCAGCCAGCTGGGCCAGATCCCTAAGCCGCGCTTGCTGCTTCCTTCCATCATCTGAGCCGGCTTTATCCTTAAGCCAGGTGTACCCCTGAGGCATCAGTAAAATTATATATTAGGAGTAGATTACACAGAGGCCAGTATATATTCAACTGGTATACTATGCTTTCTGGTGTGTTATTATACACTCTAGAGCAGCACCTAATGACTCAAGTATACTTGATTGCTTTGGTATTGGGCTTAAGACTTATCAATCTCTGGAGGGTTAGTAAGGCCACCACAACAGCTTACTGACCAGCAGCAAGTATACTTTAGTCCGGAACATTGTCCATGACTACAGTATACTCGGTGTATATTCTTAGTACACCTGTTGGTTTGTCATTTGGTGTTGGTGTTAAAACTTCTATACTCCATAAGGATATTAAATATAGTGTAACTTACTGAACAACCAACAAAGTATACTTCAGTGATAAGAATACAGCAAAAGAGCCCAAAGTACTCTTCCAGGGCTCAAAATGCTACATAAAAGCCCAAAGTACTCTACCACGACTCAAAATGTTACATAAAATCCCAAGGAACTCTCCCACGACTCAAAATGTTACATGAAAGCCCAAAGTAGTCTCCAAAGGCTAAGAAAGGTTCATAAAAGCCCAAAGCACTCTCCCAAGATTCAACATGCATTTAAAAAGATGAAGTTCACTGAACTTCCTTAAGAATGAACTAAAAACTAGCAATTTTTACGTGCAAATCAATCCTTAAGAAATAATAACATTTTCCCAAATGAGTTGATTATGAGAACAGTCGAGTAGAAAAATGAGTCGATGCTATTGTTCATAATTTACCATGCATCATACATCATACATTTAACACTAACGTTATCAGTATTAAGCTTTTGGTAAGCATAAGCTGACCGGAGGCGTGTTCGTTGTCAAATCTTTCAAGGAAGCAGGTTTTGGTCTGTGTCAGCTGCAGCAAGCAGGTCGTGGAGTGTCAGCTGCAGCAAGCAGGTCGTGGTGTGTCAGCTGCAGCAAGCAGGTCGTGGTGTGTCAGCTGCAGCAAGCAGGTCGTGGTGTGTCAGCTGCAGCAAGCAGGTCGTGGTGTGTCAGCTGCAGCAAGCAGGTCGTCGAGTGTCAGCTGCAGCAAGCAGGTCGTGGAGTGTCAGCTGCAGCAAGCAGGTCGTGGGATGTCAGCTGCAGCAAGCAGGTCGTGGGGTGTCAGCTGCAGCAAGCAGGTCGTGGTGTGTCAGCTGCAGCAAGCAGGTCGTGGTGTGTCAGCTGCAGCAAGCAGGTCGTCGAGTGTCAGCTGCAGCAAGCAGGTCGTGGAGTGTCAGCTGCAGCAAGCAGATCGTGGAGTGTCAGCTGCAGCAAGCAGGTCGTGGTGTGTCAGCTGCAGCAAGCAGGTCGTGGAGTGTCATCTGCAGCAAGCAGGTCGTGGTGTGTCAGCTGCAGCAAGCAGGTCATGGTGTGTCAGCTGCAGCAAGCAGGTCGTGGTGTGTCAGCTGCAGCAAGCAGGTCGTGGTGTGTCAGCTGCAGCAAGCAGGTCGTGGTGTGTCAGCTGCAGCAAGCAGGTCGTCGAGTGTCAGCTGCAGCAAGCAGGTCGTGGTGTGTCAGCTGCAGCAAGCAGGTCGTGGTGTGTCAGCTGCAGCAAGCAGGTCGTGGTGTGTCAGCTGCAGCAAGCAGGTCGTGGTGTGTCAGCTGCAGCAAGCAGGTCGTCGAGTGTCAGCTGCAGCAAGCAGGTCGTGGAGTGTCAGCTGCAGCAAGCAGGTCGCGGTGTGTCAGCTGCAGCAAGCAGGTCGTGGAGTGTCATCTGCAGCAAGCAGGTCGTGGTGTGTCAGCTGCAACAAGCAGGTCATGGTGTGTCAGCTGCAGCAAGCAGGTCGTCGAGTGTCAGCTGCAGTAAGCAGGTCGTGGTGTGTCAGCTGCAGCAAGCAGGTCGTCGAGTGTCAGCTGCAGCAAGCAGGTCGTGGTGTGTCAGCTGCAGCAAGCAGGTCGTGGTGTGTCAGCTGCAGCAAGCAGGTCGTGGTGTGTCAGCTGCAGCAAGCAGGTCGTCGAGTGTCAGCTGCAGCAAGCAGGTCGTGGTGTGTCAGCTGCAGCATGAAGGTCGTGGAGTGTCAGCTGCAGCAAGCAGGTCGTGGTGTGTCAGCTGCAGCAAGCAGGTCGTGGTGTGTCAGCTGCAGCAAGCAGGTCGTGGGGTGTCAACTGCAGCAAGCAGGTCGTGGAGTGTCAGCTGCAGCAAGCAGGTCATGGTGTGTCAGCTGCAGCAAGCAGGTCGTGGTGTGTCAGCTGCAGCAAGCAGGTCATGGTGTGTCAGCTGCAGCAAGCAGGTTGTGGAGTGTCAGCTGCAGCAAGCAGGTCGTGGGGTGTCAGCTGCAGCAAGCAGGTCGTGGGGTGTCAGCTGCAGCAAGCAGGTCGTGGAGTGTCAGCTGCAGCAAGCAGGTCGTGGAGTGTCAGCTGCAGCAAGCAGGTCGTGGTGTGTCAGCTGCAGCAGGCAGGTCGTGGGGTGTCAGCTGCAGCAAGCAGGTCGTGGTGTGTCAGCTGCAGCAAGCAGGTCGTGGAGTGTCAGCTGCAGCAAGCAGGTCGTGGAGTGTCAGCTGCAGCAAGCAGGTCGTGGTGTGTCAGCTGCAGCAGGCAGGTCGTGGGGTGTCAGCTGCAGCAAGCAGGTCGTGGTGTGTCAGCTGCAGCAAGCAGGTCGTCGAGTGTCAGCTGCAGCAAGCAGGTCGTGGAGTGTCAGCTGCAGCAAGCAGGTCGTGGAGTGTCAGCTGCAGCAAGCAGGTCGTGGTGTGTCAGCTGCAGCAGGCAGGTCGTGGGGTGTCAGCTGCAGCAAGCAGGTCGTGGTGTGTCAGCTGCAGCAAGCAGGTCGTGGAGTGTCAGCTGCAGCAAGCAGGTCGTGGAGTGTCAGCTGCAGCAAGCAGGTCATGGTGTGTCAGCTGCAGGAAGCAGGTCATGGTGTGTCAGCTGCAGCAAGCAGGTCGTGGTGTGTCAGCTGCAGCAAGCAGGTCATGGTGTGTCAGCTGCAGGAAGCAGGTCATGGTGTGTCAGCTGCAGCAAGCAGGTCGTGGAGTGTCAGCTGCAGCAAGCAGGTCGTGGAGTGTCAGCTGCAGCAAGCAGGTCATGGTGTGTCAGCTGCAGGAAGCAGGTCATGGTGTGTCAGCTGCAGCATGAAGGTCGTGGTGTGACAGCTGCAGCAAGCAGGTCATGGTGTGTCAGCTGCAGCAAGCAGGTCATGGTGTGTCAGCTGCAGGAAGCAGGTCATGGTGTGTCAGCTGCAGCAAGCAGGTCATGGTGTGTCAGCTGCAGCATGAAGGTCGTGGTGTGACAGCTGCAGCAAGCAGGTCTTAGTGTGACAGCTGTGGCCTACCTGGTCCTTAACGTTGCCTGCTGCCTGGGTCTCATCTTCATTCCAACTTATGGAGGAGGTGTACTTTTTCTGCAGGAGGAGAAGGTGGTACTGAGCATGCAAAGATGTTGCACATGTTCTCTATGCACAAGATAGCAACACCGTGGCAAGGTGCAAAATATCTGCGTGCTGCTATCTGTGGCACAAGGACATGATATCCCTGTAAACACACAACGGAACTTCAACGTTTTTCAAAACGTTAATACAATTATTTCAGCTTGCAACGAAGTGAAGACAATAACACTGGTTGAACTGTGTGTTTGCAGGGATGTGGCAAGAGACCCGCTGTCTAGGGGCGGTGTTGTTAGTGCCCGAGGGGCACAGGAGATATCCTGGGCAGCAAACAGCCATCAACAAACTGCTGTAGCATGATGGTGAGTTTATAGTCGCCTGCTACTACAGGAGCGTTCTATGGGGTCCCACTGACCACCACAAGCAAACCAAAAGACCGGATTTAGATCTCCTTTATCGCGCGGTGTCGAATTGTTTGCTAAGCTAACTTTTCATGTATTTGGCTAAGATATCAAGACCATCTTACCATCATTCTAAGATCAAATTAAAGAACTACTTTTCATAATTGTAAAAAGGTGTGAATTTACATACCCGAATCTAGCCTTGAGACTTTCCTGAATGCTTTTTATGTAGTCCAGCGCCTATTCCTAAAGGGATAGCATCCTTCCAGAGGGTTTAGAGTCCAAGTATTATTATTCCCAGATGGATGGTAAATATAGTGGACATTATAACAAGTAGCTTAGACATTCAGGTAAAGCTTTCCACCACCGCCCACGGGATGGGTATAGCGTGCATAGTAAAGAAAAGTCACCTGTTAGTCGACAGTGAAGGACTACGGAGTACAATGCCATCTTTTACCCTTAAATCATGTCAATTCCCAAATAATTTGGTAAAAGAGATTTTTGTGGTTGTCTTTTATGTGCAAACGAGGTACTCAACAGGAAAGAATTTATATATAAAATAAGGAACCAGCTTTAGAGCCACATAATTTCATGTTATTTAAATTCTGGGATTAATCTAAAACACGATATGTTGTTTAGATAATAGCTATCCCTTAAGCTTACATTTTTTGTTTTCATCAGCTTCAGAGAAAATGAAATGTAATATTGGTAACTAAAAAGAACTTAGTTGAGGCAGGAACTAGTTTTAGCTTTCGCTTCACATAGCAGATCTTAAGCCTTATTTTACAAGTTTTACCTTTAATACTACTATCCAATCAGAGAAAATAATTAGGATTAGTTTTTAATCAGTGATTATTAACGAGATTATACAATCTCGTTCCTAATCACTGTTAGACTAAAAGTTCATAATTGGTACCCAGTCAATCCTCCCTGCGCTTGGCTGGAACCAAACTGAAATCGGTATTGGTGTCAGGCGCAATGATGTAACTATACCCCAAAATGTTACAACCAATACATTTTTACCGGAATTTACATAGGCACCATCTCTCTAGTGGCTTAAACATGGACGGCATGCCGGCGGCTTGTCAAATTTCCTCACCATTTTACCAAATAATTTTTTTACAACTAGATTTTGATCCCTAATACAAATATTCATGAACACTTCAGTGGAAATAAACATTCCATTCACTTGGGCTCTAGGAAACTCGAACCTCGGATCCCACGCCTGTCAGGCCGAAGCTCTATCGACCGAGCTATTGAGTAGGCTTAATAAAGAATAAATTCCAGAAAGGTGGGTTCACTGAACCGTAAGTCTTGTCATTTACGCCTTCTGCGGGTAGGCGGTTCCAAGGGTTTATAACCCTGGGAATAATAGTAGTGTAGTGAAGAGGATACCGCGCTCACCGACTCGCGCACAGCGTCGACCCGAGATCGAATCCTGGCCGGGGAGGAGTGACTGGGATCCAGTCCATAAAAATATATAAATTTGGGTACAATGTCTGAGGGTGGAGAGATAAAAAGGATTTGTTGGTGTGAGGTTTGAGGCAACATACTTCCTTATACAACTGGTTCACTTCATACAAAACATACCCTTATACAGTGAACCCATATGCAGTGGAACCGCTGCATCCAATAAGGATCATTATACAATGGATCCACATTATACAATAGGGACTCCTTATACAATGGAGCCACCGTATACAATAGTACAATAGAGCACCTTTTTGTAATTAAGCCACCTTAAACAATAGCGTTCCCTTATACAATGGAGTCACCTTATGCAATAGAGCCCTCTTATACAATAGGATCCTGCTTATACAATAGAGTCCCCTTATACAATAGGGTCTCAGTATAATGTAGGCTCACCTTACATAAGAGGGATCCCTTATACAATGGGGCCCCCATATACAATGGAGCCACCTAATACAACTGGTACTTTCTGGTGGTCCATCGCTACATGTTGGTACTTTCTGGTGGTCCATCACTACATATTGGTACTTTCTAGTGGTCCATCACTACAAGTTGGTACTTTCTAGTGGTCCATCACTACATATTGGTATTTTCTAATGATCCATCACTACATATTGGTACTTTCTGTTGGTCCATCACTAAATAGTTGTACTTTCTAGTGGTCCATCACTACATATTGGTACTTTCTAGTGGTCCATCACAACATATTGGTACTTTCTGTTGGTCCATCACAACATATTGGTACTTTCTGGTGGTCCATCACAACATATAGGTACTTTCTCGTTGTCCATCACTACATATTGGTACTTTCTGGTGGTCCATCACAACATATAGGTACTTTCTGGTGGTCCATCCCAACATATTGGTTTCCTTCTGGTGGTCCATCACAACATATTGGTACTTTCTGGTGGTCCATCACTACATGTTGGTACTTTCTCGTTGTCCATCACTACATATTGGTACTTTCTGGTGGTTCATCACAACATATTGGAGCATTTCGGTGGTTTATCACTACATATTGGAACTTTCTCGTTGTCCATCACTACATATTGGTACTTTCTGGTGGTCCATCGCTTCATATTTGTACTTTCTTGGGGTCCATTACTATATATTGGTACTTTCTGGTGGTCCATCACTAAATATTGGTACTTTCTGGTGGTCCATCACTAAATATTGGTACTTTCTGGTGGTCCATCACTAAATATTGGTACTTTCTGGTGGTCCATCGCTTCACATTGGCACTTTCTGGTGGTTTTACATGAAAACATACTTAGAATTTTATATAAGCTTGAAACATGTTATGTTGAGCTTTATATAAGTATGAAACATGTTATTTAGAACATTATATGAAAGATGTGAAACATTTTATGAAACATTATATGTCAGGATGTAAGCACATTAAACATGTAAGCATGATACATGTTTTCAGAACTTGTTACAAACTTTAAACATTTTTATTCAGATCATCATAGAACAAGTTCTCAAAATATATTATTTAGTATTTCATTTAAACTTTAAATATTTAAAGGACGTGATTTACGCTTGAAACATGTCTTTAGAACAAAATGTAAGATTAAAACGTTTTTATAACAAGGTAAAAGTTTGTAACATATTTGAGAATATCATAAAAGCTTGAAACACATTTGAGAAAATCATATAAGCTTGATACAAATTTTAGAACATGATATAGGCTTGAAATATCTTTCAAAACATGATATAAGCTTGAAACATATTTCGGAACATGATATAAGCTTGGAACATATTTCAGAACAAGATATAAGCTTTCGCCATATTTAGAAATATGATATAAGCTTTAAACATATTTCAGAACATGATATCAGCTTGAAATATATTTTAGAACATCATTTGTCTCAAAACATATTTTAGAACATGATATAAGCTTGAAACATATTTTAGAACATAAATTAAGCTTCAAACATGAATTAGAACTTAAAACAAACTTGAAACATATTTCAAAATATGATATAAACTTGAAACATATTTCAGAATATGATATGAGCCTGAAATATATTTTTAAACATGATATAAGCTTGAAACATATTTTATACATGATATAAACTTGAAACATCTTTCAGAATATGATATAAGCTTGAAACATATTTTAGAACATGATATAAACTTGAAACATATTTCATAACATGTTTTAAGCTTGAAACATATTTCAGAACGTGATTTAAGCTTGAAACATGTTTCAGAACATGATATAAGCTTGAAACATTTTTCAGAACATGATATAAGCTTGAAACATATTTCAGAACATGATTTAAGCTTGAAACATATTTCAGAACTTGATATAAGCTTTAAACATATTTTAGAACATGATATTAACTTGACATATATTTTAGAATATGATACGAGCTAGAAACATATATTTAATAATATAAACATATAATATAATACGAGCTGAAAAAAACATAACATAATGCAATATACATCATATATGTTTGAACATATTTTATAACATGATGTGAGCTTGAAAAATATTTTATAACATGATATAAACTTGAAACATAGTTTAGAAAATGAAATAATCTTGAAACATATTTTGGAAAATGATAAAAGCTTGAAACATTTTAAAACATGACATGAGCTTGTAATATATATTAAATGTGATATAAGCTTGAAAGATATTTTAGAACATGATATAAGCTTGAAACATGTATCAGAACATGATAGAAACTTGAAGCATAGTTACAAATTAGTACTTTCTAGTGGTCCATTACAACATATTGGTACTTTCTGGTAGTCCATCGCTTCATATTGATACTTTCTGGTGGTCCTTCACTACATATTGGTAATTTCTGGTGGTACATCACTACATGTTGGTACTTTCTGGTGGTTCATCACTACTCAGAGTTACTTTCTTGTAGTCCATCACTACATATTGGTACTTTCTGGTGGTACATCACTAAATATTGGTACTTTCTGTGGTCCATCACTACTCAGAGTTACTTTCTTGTAGTCCATCACAACATATTGGTAATTTCTGTTGGTCCATCACTAAATATTGGTACTTTCTGTGGTCCTTCATTACATATGAACACTTTCTGGTGGTCCATCATTATATAGTGTTACTTTCTGGTGGTCCATCACTACATATGGGAACTTTCTGGTTGTCTATCACTA